GGAAGGGTGTAGCTGGAAACATGAAGACTGGTGTTTTTTCTGCAGAATTCCAGGGAAGTATAAGACAGTCTTGGCTGGTGGCTTTCCTAATAGGGTAGCTGTAGTGGGCCCATGCTGATGGTATCAAGGGGCTGTGTTAGGAGCAGAGCCAAAGTTGGAGACGGAAACTTGACACACCTTGGGTTAACTGTCAGAAAGTCTCTGTGATTTTCCTATGGGAAGGAAAAACCTGGGCCATTGATTGGCATCATGGAGCTGACAGACATTACGTTTTGCTTTTTGAAGAATTTGTCTGTACTCCTGGACATCCTGACATGTGTTAGGTAGGTTGTTTTAAATATGGAAGTGTGCCTTGCACCACCAGGCGGTTGAAGGGGATGTTTGCTTGGCTGATATCCATCACTGCACGAGGCTGTCCTATTCCTTTGATCACTTGAAAAGGATGAATGAAGAGAAGAGAAAGACAAGTACTGCATTGGCAGATGAAGTTTTCTTTCATACTATTGAGATATTTGCGCTCCAGTATGTGACTAAAGGCTGAGAGTTGGGGTGGTTCAGCCTGGAGAAGAAAAGGCTCTGGGGAGACCTTATTGCAGCCTTCCAGTGCTTAAAGGGGGTTTAAGAAAGATGGGGAGAGACTTTTTATCAGGGCCTGTAGCAATAGGACAAGGGGTAATGGTTTCAAACTAAAGGAGGGTAGACTTAGATTAGATGTAAGGAAGAAATTTTTCACAATGAGGGTGGTGACACACTGGCACAGGTTGCCTAGAGAGGTGGTAGATGCCCCATCCCTGGAAGCATTCAAGGTCAGGTTGGATGGGGCTCTGAGCAGCTGATCTAGTTGAAGATGTCCCTGCTCATTGCAGGGGGGTTGGAGCAGATGACCTTTTTAAAGGTCTCTTCCAACCCAAAAGATTCTATGATTCTATAAAAGTGTATGTAAAAAAAACCCCACACCCAATGAATCCCCAACAAACAAATCAGTATTCAAGGAAAATCTTCAGGTGTTTTGTCTAACTTTCCTGAACACTAATATCTACCATAAAAAACTAATCATTGAGCTAAAGGAGGGAGAGGATTTCATGATCTGAAAATTGACTGGTATTTGGACCAAGGCTGTGGGTTAAACTAACATTTGCTTAGGAAATTTGGATCAACGGGAGAATTTTAAAGTTCTGAAAGACTTTATAAAAATAATAAATGTTGACAAGTTTACTGAGCAGAACTCATGTCTGTTAGGATTATATTGCCAGAGATGAGCTTGCTTGTGTTAAGTTATTTAAAATGCTCAGAACTGGTTTGTTTTAAGATGTTGAAAAGGGCTGTTTTCAGTTTCACTAGAGGGAAGTAGAGGAAAAATGACTATCTTGAGAAGAAGTAGTTTCTAAGTTTTCTAAAGTGGGTGTTAAGGATATTTGTTCTCTGAAGTCCATAATTAATATTTGTATTCTAAGGATTCTGAAGCTTTGTTAAATAAAATGAATTTTGAAAGCACATATGTAATGCTCATGTGTATCTGAAAGACACTTACGTATATTGCTGCACTTACGTTGTACTGAAATGTATGCCTCCATTGGGATGTTACAGGCTCAGCATTACTTGATGGTTGATAGCAAAATACAGGCCAGCTTTCAAAAGGAAAGAAAGACCTATTGTACAGCCTGTTCTCAGCCCAGCAAGGTACAAGGTGCTAGGTGGAGAGGGTGTGAACTTCTCTCATGGCTTCAAGGCAATGAGTTTAGTTGCTTAAGATATGTACAGGGTTAATTAGTTGGCAGAAACTAGCCCTAATATGGTTACTATGGAAAAGTTTGAGCTTTTAACACAGCACCGTAAATGTTTGCTTCCAGTGGCCCTTGCTTTTGGTAGGGTTACCAGATGTTACACTTCTCTGAGAAAGTTATCATAATGACCTGATTTTTAGTACAGTGTCTTTTTTGGACTTGCTCTGCTGTATAGCCAGCATTCATTTTGCTGCTTCCAACCTTATCCAAACACTCTGTGCAGTTCAGGATGAAACTTCAGTTATTACTTCTGAAACCTGAAAGGTTTAGCAATATTGCAGATTTCCATCTTCCCTAACATTTTGGTCTTCATACTGAGTAGGCAGTCACTGCATTTTGACAATATATTTTACATTTTATTTTACATTTAACTTTTCAAGCTGTTTTACTAGGTTAACTTGGATAGGAAGAATACCTTCACATTTATCATTAGTGACTTGCATGTTTAGTCAAACACTGTGTGATATTGAGTCATTTAAATCTCCAGCATATGAAGTGTAAATTAACATTGAAGGCCTCTCTTAACACCCATTACTCTATTTAAACAGTCATACAGAATTACTAGTTACCAGTAATTTCTCCTTGAATACAAATATATCATCTGTTCTAATGTTTTAACTCTCTTGATCTGCATGTCATGAAAAGAGTATCTTAAAATAAGGAAATGCCAAGACTGAATAGTGTAATAGATAATTGAGAGTTTTATTGCCATTTAGAAGTGTCAGGTTTGCTTGCAGCTCAAATTACTAATTTTCCTTAGAAGCTAATGATACTCGGTCGTTGAGCATGGTCCCAAAGGATAAATACCCATCCTGCTGGGACAACTGATTGAGTCTCTTGACAGTGTTAGCATAAAAATCTGACCTGTGAAGATGTGAAGTATTAGCTCTTCTCTTGCAAGAGATGATTTTTTTTTTTTACAAAGTAAAGTAGTCCTTTAAGGCATCCAGGCAGAACAGTTGGAGAATATTCACTGCAGACTTTTTTGATAAACAGACTTTCAGACCCCAAAGCTCTCAATTTATCACATTGCACAGGTGTGAGAAATTCAGACATGGACACAATAAATCAGTAAAAACCCTATAGAGTATGCTGCATGATGCATTTCAGAGTAGAATCTAAGAGCAGAACTGTTGGTGAAGAGCTTGTCGTTTCCAGTTCATGTAGCAGTTGTGAAAAGCAGCTTTGTGTTTTCATAATGCTGTAGCAGTTCATTGATTTGCACTACAATCTAAGGACTGGGATCTGTGCTTCCCAAGGTGCTCAGGAAGCCTGGTGACATGCACTCAATACTTCTGAAGATTGAAATCAGAAACTCTGCTGGAATCAGGACTGTGTTAGCACCCATCCATGAAAATATCTTCTCACTGTGTTGCCACATATTCACCTCACTGCGGTGTGCCTCTACCTGCTTATCCTGCCTCCCGTTATCTTTGCTGTCTCCCATTGCATGCTGCAGGCCATAAAACCTTACCATCCATTCTCCACCCCTTCTTGCAACCTGCTGCATGTCTCTTCCCACCCTGTGCAGCTAGATAAGGCAAAGCAGGGAGTTGGAAGTTCATTTGTTCTTCTCAGAACTTGTTATCATGCCTGAATATTATTTGTTTTAAACCACATGGGGATTAAGATCCTTTGAAGTTCCTTGACTAGTGTTTAGGGGAAAATAAAATGCCAGTTTAAGCTTCTGATCTTTTGTAACAGCATATAGGACTCCAGTGTTCAAATTTATGCTTAAAACAGCTGTTCCGTTTTCTGGAAAAGAATGACTAAAAACTTGATTATATTTAAGTTTATATTTCAGCTTCCATCTGTGGTGAAATCAGGACCTATTCAGCTTTATGATCATTCATGGAGATGGCTTGATTTTTATTCTTACAGATCACAAATTGCTTGCTTATTGTCTTTGTATATTAAGAATGACCTTATTTAAAAACTATTCATGGTTTAACTTTCTTAGTAGGAACATTATCATGTCCAGTTAGTTGAAACTTCTGTTTTGAGAAAAAGCACGTGCTCTAACAACAAAAGCCTGGCTCTATCCCTGTATTTGCACTACTTGGCTGATATGTGCAAAAGCTGATCTGTGCTAATGCTTGATAATAGTGTATGGCAGCTAGCTCTATGTATGGCTGACCAGTTATTTATCCAGTTACTGCATTTATGCAGACACAATTAATACTTTCATACCTAAACCCTCCTCTTGTTGTTTTTATATCTAACCACCACTGTCATCATCAGTAATGTGATAGTGAGTGGCCAGCATAAATAGAGAGATGGACAAATTTATCCTTGGAGCAGCCAGTCTTAAGATATAGCTGTTTTGCAGAAATAGTTGATTAGAAACAACACACTCTTCTTGAACAATAAAAAATGAATCAGTCTACTTAAAGCATACATTTGGAATGATCTTGCAAAACAATAAAACTTTTCCCAGCATGTAAGCTTTTTGTGCTGCAAAACTGTAATGACAAATGCCTTGTGGAATAACTGCTGTTTAAATAGTGGTCATGCCCATTCAGTGCAGCAATAAAAGGGGATCTGTTGCTGATTTCATAGACTTCAATGTCTCCTACTGTCAATGTTCAATTTGGCAGTCTGGTACAACCCTATATGGACTAGGCTATAAGGTACGTTTAGAAAGGATATCTTGGGATGGTTGTCAGGAAAAGTCTACACTGTGAGCATGAAGGTGCTTGATCTATCAAGAGTGAGGTGCTGCAATGCATGTTTTATGTATTTTTAGATCACATACTCATTGGACAAAATCTTCTGCTTCTGTATAAATATAATAGCTACTGAAGTAGTAGCTATCTGTGCATCTGTTCAGGACCAGCTGTATAGGAAGTGCTGTCATGTGACAATGAATATGTTAAGAAGCTATTTTTCTGTTTCAGCTGACTAAAGACTATAAGCAACATTCAAAGGCCTGTGTACATGTGAGGGGCATGGTACAGTCAAGCGTGAAGACAACACGTGACTAATGGATTTACAGTGGACTGCCAGTGCCTTACAATTTTATTCAACTGCTGCAGTCAGAAAACCTGCATATTGTTATAGGTATACGGATGATGGTAAACTCTTTCTTGAGGGAGCAGGCATTTAGTTGGTAAAAATCTAAGTTTTCTTTAATTTTTGTGCTTAGTACAATTTCTGGCCTCTTTGCCACTTAACAGTATCTTTTATTTGTTTTAGTCTTATTTTTTGTGATTAAAATTACACTGTTTGTGCCAATGAATTCATCTGGGGTTGACCTGCAGTGTGTTCAAGCTGGAGTTCGTACCCTCCTAATCCTAGGTCTCCTTCATGAATATCTTCCTTTCCTGTAGCCTGGGTGGAGCCTGTTCTGTCCTGCACTGGTATGTGTGCAGCTGATTCATAGTTTTCAGTCAATTCATCATTATTGACAATATAATCTGTGTCGTCATCCTTCAGTTGATCCTGTATTCAAACAAAGAACATGATCAGAGGAAGGGAGACTCCTTTGGAGGACATTTGTTAAAGCTTAAATGGAGAACAGGTCTGATGCAATTCCACTTTTGTTTTATTTCATTACTTATTTTTTTCAGGTGTTAATTTAACATCTTGATGTTGATGAAAGCAAATAGTTGCTTACCATGTTCTGCTCTTGAGCAGTGTTGAGAAACATAACCTACCCTTCAAATCTTTAAGATAATTTCAATGCTTAAATATCACTGATAGGTAGCCAATACTTTCAGCATCTGGCTGAATTATTTAGAACATGTTACTCATATTTGAAGCTCACAGAATTAATGATCATTCTTGAAAATGTATTACTGCACCTTCTAAGACCTCTTCTCCACAACCCTGAAGCAATTGTATAATTTTTAGCCTTAAAAGTAATAAGCTTTGGAAAAGGGACTTTACCTAAGTGTTTAATTGGTGAAATGGTAGATTCTGGCTTACACCTTAAATATAATTAACTGAGCTAGGTACTTACACCATATGCGCTGGGGCTGGTCAGAAGCCTGGCAACAGGGTTACACCATTCAGGTAATGTTGTTGTGAGAGGTGGACCGGTGTGGGTTAAGATAGGTTTTAGGTATCTGTGAGGATTGTTAAAGAATATTTCCCATATAGATATTGATACTAACATGCTTCTCTATTACACAAAGAAATTTCATTTTAAAGCATAAAGGAATCATCTAACTTAATGGAAACATAGAAAATACACTCTTTACCCACCAGTTACTGCATACATTCACCTGTCATCAGTCTTTCTAATGTTTTCCAGTAACAACAAAAAAAAAAACCCCAAACCACCCCCCCAACTCCCGAAACACTTGATGCTCAAAATCTGTCTTGAAGGGTACCAGAATGGCCGAAGGGGATGTATTGTGGGGGACATAAGAAGAGAGGAAATGTGGACTAGATTATCCTGTTTACTGTTTGCTCTAAGTGTGATCTCTTATGCAATTTTAGCAGGAAACAATTTAAGATGCATCTGTATCAGCCACTTTATGTAAGAACAGTAGTGAATGTTTTCTTAAACACACATACTCAGCCTTTTGTAAAATCAGTGCATTTCTTCAACAGGCAAAGAATATTTCATCAAATACTAAGTTTCTTTATTGCTGGGAGTGTACACAAGTTGTTTTCTGTAATAACTAATTTTCAGTATTCAGCGTGTTTTGTTTTGCACTTCATACATCAATGCTCCTTTATATAAAATTATATAAATAAGTTAGGAACAGGATTTATGCTGTTGTCTTGCACCTGTCTTTCAATCTTTTGGATGAAAAGTGCTTTATTGAGAGAAAAGAAAAACCTGCTCATCCTGAGTAATTGTATCATCCTTGTATCTGTCAATAACAGCTCTCCCCTGAGTCCCTCAAGTTGACTTCTCTTCTCTGCTACTTTTACTTGCAAAGTAATTTTCAGTGTTCTTTGGGAAGCAGGTCTGTCAGCTATTTTTGCTGCTAGGGAAAACTTTATTGATTGATTGTTGTCCCACTTTCTACCCCCCTGCTCCTTTTTCTTGCTTGTGCTCTCTCCCTCGCTTTTTCTCTCTCTGTCTCCTTAAAGAAGAAAGGAACAAATGTAAGACTGAGTAGTGATTTGAGCTCTGCAGCAATATTTTAGAAACACTGAGTAAGTAACAGTGGGTCTTAAGCCTAACCATTCTAGTGCCTCCTTTTCCTGCATTATTGGTTGTTTATGGTATCACTGCTTTACACACGAAGTACACAAGTACTGTATCCTGAAGCAACTGTTATGTGAAACATCCTTATGATCTCAGTTACAGACTGAAAGGCTGAGTAACTTGCTATGCTGTCCTCTATACTGTAGCCATGGAAGTTGTTCTGTAGCATCTCGGGGGTGTGTGTGTGTTTTTGTGTATTTTTAAAATAAACTGCATCTGTTGGAAGATTGTGCAGTTTGTTCATCCAAGGTCATATACTGAGTTTGGAAAAACAAATTATAAGTTAACTTGTATTGACTTTTTAAAAAAAATTGGAGGATTTTATCAGAAGTGTGATCAAGGTGGGAATCTCATGAAATCAGATCGTGCAGGGAAAGTTTAGGCCCTCTTGCTTCTGTAAGAGTAAAATCAAACCAAACAATCCCTTTCTCATCTACTCCTGATCTTATTTGAAACATCAAAAAAGAAGTGACAAGCAGTTAAGAGTTATTAGTAAAGAACAATGTATGAAAGCCATCCATTAGAGTTGCTTTGTTTTTCAGCACTCCAGAAAAACCTAATTAAAAGGCCAAAAATGGAAGTAGAAGCCTAATTACAGGTTTTTAATTGTTGGAAATATTGGCTTTGTTAGTACAAACAACTTGCATTGTTTGAACGGAGTTGTCAGACCTAGCATGAAAAGTAAGGGCTTGTAGTGGAAGTTGCATTATACTGACTTTGGTCTGCTCTGTTCTTTTATTCTCTTCCAGAATGAGTAACTGAAGATAAATATTGCTCTATGCTTCCTCCTTAATCTGATGTTAAGAAGCCCCTTACTTCTAAGCAGCCTTATAACCTTATAATGAGCTTTATAGCTCTCAGTAAAAATTTGAGTAGTTTTCCTGCTGTGCTTGCATGAAGCCCAGCACCACATCAGATAGGAACAGTGCTGCATGCTGAAATGGGCAAGCTATTTGGCTGACAAAGTAATCTCCAGTCTTTGGAGCCACCACCACTTTTATCGTAGACTTTTGTGTCTGGTGTGTTTAACTGGTTGCTGTGTGTACACTGATGCTTTTAAGTTGAGGATGGCTTAATTTTGGGCTGCAACAGGTCCTCTAAGTCCCCTTCCTTTTGCACTTGTTCTAACGTGTTCATTGTGTATTGTCCATACTTCTGCTTTTTGAAGCCTCTTGAGATGCAGTTTAAAGTGAAGATAACTTTCTTGGGCTGCTTGTGATGCTTCTGATTCTGTCACAAATTATTTATCTCTTCCTTATTTCAGTAGTTATGTGGCCTACTAAAGGAACTTAAATTGCACAGGTCTATTTTTCATTGTTTTAATAACCTATGCTGTAAATGTTTACCTTTATTTTTGACACAGTTGCTTTATAGTATTACAGACATGATCATCGTTCAGTGCAGCATGAAAGAGGAATTGTAATCCATGTGCAGTGCTGGCATTTCAAAAGTATCTCAGGCACAGGTGTACAGCATTTTAAGGCTGGCAAGAAGTGTTATCACACTCCAGCTCCTCTGGTTGCATCTCTCGGCATCTCCAGGGAGAAATAATCTAAATAGTGTAATAGAAAAAGGTAGATCTTGCACTAAGGCTGCTTTAAAAATTGGAAGAAACAAAGTGTAAAACTCTTAGCATAACTCAAAAGTTACTGCCGAAACAAATTCATGCCTGCCTAATCCAGGGATAGGGAGAAGCTACCAGGAAAACATTGTTATCGGTCAACCCACTCTAGACTTGCACTTCTGCCCTCTGCGGGCAGAACAGCCCACCCGCATGTCTTGGATTCTACACCATACAATATACTGCCTTAAAGAGCACTAGTATTGTAAAGGTGGCTAACTTCCAAGGAAATTGAATTCAGGAAGCCTGTATATGCATGCGCATAGAATTTTAATCAGCATACAGTGCTGGCACATCAGCATGCCTTTACTTTCATAATCAAATACTAATTTTTCTATTGACTCATCACATCTCCAGGCTTCCACTCTCAGTTTACATGCCCAGAAATGTTTACCCTGGGTCCCCTCATTGCCATTTGAACATCCTTTTGCCCTGGCAGTTCTCGTCTTCCCTCACCACTAGCCAGGCATAGTTCCTCTCCCTTCCTGTTTCACTGACACCACACTCGACATTTACATCTGTTTACCCCTTCCTGGTTCAGCTTCTGTGTCTTCTGAGTTTGGCTCATGTAATGTCCTCTTCTCTACTGCCCAGCAATAAGTGGAGGTAATGCCATTTGCAGACAAGACGGTTGGCAAGTGTCAGGACAACATAGTCCGAAGTTGAGCCACAGGCAGGTTGTTTGCTGGGGCTGCTGAAGCTGAGCAATTCAAACAGCGGCTGGGGAGGGTACAGTGTTCTCAATAGCAACAGGACCTTCAGAATTTAGGTCTTGAAATTGAAGAGTTTTTTTGGCCCAGAAGGTGTTTTGCCTTTTGCCTCATTGCATAATGGACGCTCTGTAACTCAAGGTAATCCCATCTTCCCCAAAGGCAAATATGTTTACACTATAATACTTATCATTAAAAAGCCCCAAAGTACAGGAATTCCTGTGATAGCAGTCAAAATTACATATACCAGTTTTTCCAGAGACTATGTTCTTATATTAAGCTGTACTATAAATAGATGTTTGTTAAAAGTATGTTATAGCACCTAGCAATAGACTGTTAAATATTTCTGCTGTAGGCATAAGTCTCTAGAGGTAAACGTCACCACTCCCAGAACCTATCCTTTGTGCAATGTTTTTAAGACTTCTTGAGGTTTGCAGCCTTTTATTTTAAAGTGTCCCTTTCATGAATATTTTAAAGTCTGAGTTTGTAAATTAGTTATCATGAACTTAATATTACTTTGTTTTATTTATGAAGAAACACACATAAAGATTTCAAAGATATAATGTCACTTCTGTTTGTTCAATCTATTTCCTATAATAAGGACAAATGATGTTTTTTTTCTTGGTAGAGTTTGGGTTTTCGCTTTTGTTGGTGTGCTTTTTTGTTTGTTTTTAGAAACTGAGAATGATTTTGATATTAGTGATGTGATAGCCTAAAGAGCAAACACTTCAATTTTGGTAGTGTTTGAGTGGGAGCAGGCAAATTATGAAACTTTTATCTGGTTAAGTTCTGCATGTGGCTGACCCCTAACAGCTGACTGAGATTATTTGGTTACTTTATACAACAGCTTGTGTGCATGACTGAGCTGGTGAGGCACAGAGATATCTCCAGGTCTTAAGAGTGTGCACAGCAGATTAAAATTGCCTGAAGGAGAAGGATCTCTCCTCCTGACTTTTGCAAGAGAGTATGATGTTTTCCCATCTACCACAGTTTTCTTCAGAGAATGGGGAGTTATCAGTGTAGGCTGGTTGAAAAGTGCAGGGAATAGTTATATTAGATTTAACTGTTAGAATAGCAGGTATGTTTTTGAAAAGACTGAGATCTACAGTGACTTAACATGTAAAGATAACCTGATCTGCACTGTGGAGAAAGCTGAGAAGAAACTGCTAAATCTGGTATAAATGATATTTTAACTTACAGTTGTTACCAGGGAATTCTGCTCTAGTTCTTTGTGACTCTTCTCTTTTTATGGAGTGGTTTAAAAAAATAAATTTCCCAGTACTGTTGCAACTTAAAATACTAAACTGAAGATAAATGGAATCATACTGTAGTCCTGCAAAGTCAAATCATCAGGTCTCTTTTTACTGATATTCATTCTCTCTGTTTTTGTCTTCTGTCTGAGAGCAGAGAGGGTGGATGAAAATCGGTGGTAATAAAAACTAGTTCAGTGCATTCTTACAGGAAAGTCTGACTGTCAGAAACTAGAGCCAGATGTAGTGTCAGACCCAAAGAATTAATTCTGGCTTTTATGCAGAATATGGCAAAAAATTTGCTGTTGTCAGCTTTGAAACT